ATTCTGGGACACTTGATGTCTAATTTCTTATCAACAACCATTAATGTGAGTTGTGATCATAGCTACATATATTGCATGTTTTAGTGAATTGTTCTCATAGTGTCTTCAACTTCGAGGATTTAATTTCTCCAGTCACTAGACTTTTTAATTTTTTTTTTTTTTTGCACACTCATTAAAATAAGATTTTCTGTATACTGGGCAGAGAGGTGTATTGACTATTCTGTGACAGCTGCAAAAGTCTAATCTACGTGGATAGTACCCACAGCTTTCCCTGCCCTGCCCCTTTATTGGTGAAGCACCTATACAGCCATGTCGGCACTGCAGAGATGGTATTGTTGTGGCATGTATTACTGCCGACATAAAAACTCTGCATGCTGCTCTGCGATAATGAGCAGCAGGAGTGTTTCCAATGAGAGATTCTCTGAAGATTCTTAATACTGCTACAACCGTCAAGTGCCAGGTAGGTTCAGCACTACTAACGACTCCAGAGTGGACAAACTTCAGTAGTAAAGAGATTGTTCCCTAAAAGAACCTTGACAAAGAGCAGACAAGAAGAAACAGATCTGTCACCCCGAGTATGCTCAAGGGTCCCTGGAACGCAGCTTCATTTAGGCAGCGCTGTACAGTTCTATTTGTGGAAATGGTTTCTTGGCAAAGATTAAAACTATCAAGGTAACAATGATTGTTTCAACTTTTGGCCTTTGTTTCACAGTTCTGGTTCAAGCCATATGCTGTAGCATATATGTATGGATGCTAAAAAAGCTGCACATTACTGTAAGGTGTGTCTATCTAATTGCATGGTTTTTTTAATAGCTGAAAATGTTTCTTTCTGTAGATGGACCTAATCATTTTATCAGAAAATGGCTTTGCCTCTTCTACAGATATTTTAAACTTGGCTGACCATCTTAAGACAAAAAAAATGAAGAAAAAGGAAGCAGAACAAGTGCTGAAAGTTTTTGTGGAGGATAAATGGCTCTCTGAGGTAACAGCTGTATCTTTTCAAGTGTTCGTATTTTAACAGGTCCAGCTATTATTTTCTTATGGATGTCATGGCTGAAACTGGAGCTGTTCTTTAATCAATGATGGCAAAAATAGTTTTGTGGGGCCTGTGCTTATTGCTGCTCCAGTGATTTTGCAGAAAAGGTAGTACATTTACAAGGAAAAAGTCCTTGGGTAGGTCTGTGCCGGACAACATGGTTTCAGTTTCTTCTACCTGAGCTAGGTGGGTACGTGTGTACAGCCTGCATTGCAACAGACATCCTTTGTACACAACAGCATGGCATACCGAAACTTGGAACAAGAGCTGGCAAAAGCTCTTCAGGGTGATCAGTGCTGTTAGTTACATTTAGAATATCCTGAAAAGCAGTGAGGCTAGAGGCCAAACATCTTGAAAACGCCTGTACCAGAAATGCATGGGCCACTGTGCACATTTTTAAATCTCCTTTACTTCATGAGGCAGAAATTGAGATGAGCTTACCATGTGGATGCTGCAGTTGCTGGCCAAGACAAGTGAGACCTCAATCCCTTTTCTCCTGGATTCATTGCGTCATAGATCTCCAACTTGCTGCCACGCATTTACTTATGTTAGAGTGATTTAGCAGAGATTTTCAAAGATTCCTCAAGCAGTAAATGCCTCGATTTTGCAGAAAGCCAGTAGAATTTCTGCTAATGTGCAAATGGAGGGTCCCAAAACCGCACATCTTTGTTAAGGAGAGCATGCTTGCTCGTCTGTACCTTCCAAGGACTAGGTCCCTGTTAAAGGCGTGAGATCTTTATTCTGATTCTCTGAACAAATTAATTCGGCTACTTCAAAAGTATTTTAGCTTTGCATTGTATCAGTGTCAGCATGTTAGTTTCATGATGGCAGGAAAAAGTGGATGTCAAATGCTTGCTAGCAGGTGGTTAGAAAAGTCAAAAAAGGAATTAAAAGAAATTCCTTGTCTTGCCACTTGTTTCCTTAGAGAAAAGGAGAGTATACTCTGCATACTCGCTGTATAATTGAGATGGAACAATACATTCTCAGCAACTACCAAGATGTCGCAAGGAAGTGTAACATCTGTCACAGCCTTGCCATCCAGGTAACGTTTGTTTTATTACGTTAGCAGGCATCTGCCGATGTACTTACATGGTCGTAGCTGAAGTCTATGATACTTTGAGAAAAATTCTGGTCTAGTAATCTGGTAATGCTGCCCATGTATATAAAGGAAATCCCCCCTTTTTTTTCAGTGTAGGTATTTTATCTTCTGTCTGTGGGCAAGTTCGCTTTCTCCAAGTTTATACTTTGAGATACTGCTCCAAGACAAGTTTTTTTCCAATGAGCAACATTATTGTGCTGTCTTGCTTGCCAGAGCCAGCAGGCTAGAGATGAACCCCTTATCCTTAATAGTTGTAACAGTTAAGCATTAGCTATCTTATCTTTGGACCTTACAAATAGCAGTCTTCATGTGACACATGTTCATCTTTGGTCCTGGGATTTTGGTTCAGGAATTGTTTGTGTCTTGGACTTCAAAATGAACATGTATGCTTATATATAGCATGCTAAAGCACTGTATTTTGATAGATGGTAAGTTACGAGTTTAGTCTTGCATAAGTGGTTACAGCCTGAACTCCTGTTCCAAAACTACTGCATTCTCTTGCTCCTTGACCCTGCATCATTCTCATTTTCCCAACTAACGTGCTTCCAGGTTACTTCTTCCATCCCAGTTGGTTTCCTTTATTTCACCCAAATAGCTCAGCGTTGTTTGTCTTTCAAGCTAAATTTTGCCCATATAGGGAAATGGTATTTCCTAGTTTCCAGGAAAATACAACAGTTTATCATTTATCAGCTTTGACTTTTGAGTATCCACCAGTTGTACTCTGTGAACCATTCTTTGGAATAAAGCACTGCATATCGGCCGCCCTTTGTAACAACTTTATGTTAAACTGAAGGACAAGGTTAAAAAGATGATTTTTTTTTTTTTTAATCAACACTTCTGATTTCAGAGCCAAGTATGTGAATCCTGCGGAATTGGAATGCATTTACCTTGTGTCAGAAAGTACTTTAGAGCTCACACTGAACCACGCTGTCCGCAGTGTAATGATTTCTGGTCTTGTGACATTCCAGGTACCAAGCAACCTATTTTAAAAAAATAAATGAGTGTAATAATACTAGAGAATGGACTGTAATATTCAGTGGCACTGCCTGTATTATTTATAACTGTAGTTGAATATCAGTTATTTCTGACTTCAGTTGTACGTTTCCAACAGTAAACCATACACGGGCAACACTGAGCCCCGAAAGTGCTAGGATTATGCCTTATGGTCACTACAGATCCTGTGCATATTGTTTCTAACAACATTAAAGTGTGGAGGGGAGTAGGGGACAGACAAGACACATGACACTAAAACTTCTGCAAATACTGAGCTGCTAAGAGCAGCACAATCTCTTCAGGTTTCCTCTATTTATGCAGGGAAATGGGACATTCTGAAGAGGAACACAGGAATATATAAAGCATTTTAAAAATCTGGAGGTTATACAATATCATCCTTTTTTCCTGTGTCATTCATTAACCTTCTTTTTGTTTTCTTTACAGGTACGAGTCAGATAGACTCCGAGTCACCATCAAAAACAGGGAGAGCCGAGAAGAGCTTCACTCTCAGCACTAGACGATGCTAGTAAAATATGCTTTCAGTGAAATCTTTTTTCCCCACTCTTGTAGAATAGCCAGACTGCACTGTATTCATTAGTAACAGTGTACTTATTTTTTTCCTGAAGTTTTAAGAATCTTACAATAAAACTGTCATTGACCTTCCTTTTACAGTTATGCCTGCACAGCTTTCTTGGAGGCTGTTTTGTGTATGTAGTTCTTCATATTTTTGGGTTGGGACCCTCAGTGCATGTTTGCGAATGAAAGATGCAAATGTTTTTAGTCAGTCCTGCAAGCTGATCTATGCAGGCAACTATTAAAAGCAGCCTTTCTGAGCAACAGTGTTCTCCGTTTGTACAGTTTCAGTTGCACAACTGAAAATGAAACCTGTTCCTAGCACCACAGGGCTTCAGGTAGGTGAAAAATTAATGCAGCACTTGTAGTCTCCTCACTAAGGTGGCTGGCTGAATATCTGATCTAGGGCTACAGTTTGAACACTTTCAGTTGGCACTGTTGCTTGGTTTTTGTCCCTTCTTTAGATACAGAAGAGTGCATCTGACATAAGGCCAGGTCACAAACAGCTATGCTCAATAAGAGAGGGAATATTCCCAGTCAGAACGATTGGGAAGGAGTAGGACAAGACTTTTGGGGCAATGCCAGCTTATGTCTGCAAAGCGTTGAAAAAATCATCATCTTAAGATTGTTTTAGTTTTTAGTATTAGCATTTCACTCTCCATGTAAGGATGCTTTTTCCTTTAAGAGTGACTTGAAAAAAAGACAAGGACTAGATATTGCCAGGTACCAGAATGGAATGGCAGCATCTGTCCTTGGTAGAAATGTGTGACACTGCAGAAGGCAGAGTATCAGCAGTTCAGCTGATGGTTAATCAAAGTATGATGAAGCTTCCATTTATTTAACTGCAATTAAACTATGGATTAACTACAACTAATTATGTTCCTAGGCTTTAACACTAGTAACTTTTTCCATGTAGGAGGCTGGTATCTTGCTTTGTGTTAGCTTTTTTTTTTTTTTTACCCTATTGAACCTTTGGGGAGCACCATCCCTCATCATTCGTGTAACTCCCAATTTTTACTGTTATTAAATCCAAGCAGAAGATAACACTAACCTGATGTTCCAAATACAGTTTGAAGCAGAGTCCTGGCAGTGCCCATATATAGAGCTGTTTCAGAGGTACACACGCACACAAGATGACCACCTAACAGATGTTCTTTATGAGGAGTTCATATTAGAAACATCCACAAAAATAAAGTGGCTGTAGCATCTTCTTTCCATTTACCCATCCAGATTCTTTCACCATGCTGAAGCAAGAGTGTGTTGGTTTTTGGGTTTTTTTTAATCCATCTCTGGATAGGGAAGAACATTCTCATGCTTAAAAAGAATTCTCTTGTGAGAAGATGCCAGATGCTTTTTCTGATTTTTAATTCCTATTACAATGCTAATAGACTTTATGCATGCTTCAGAGCTATGACCACCAGAAACTGACAGAGAAGCTGATATCAAGCGATCGTACATAGTGCCAATATTTAACTGGAATAAACAAAACCTGTCCAGGCATCAGAATGCAGGACTGAAATGCAGCCTTTCTGAAATTGGGAAACTTAGTTAAGTCAGGATCTTCCACATCAACCTATAAAAAACCAAAACAATCATCAGTAGAATGTCTTTACTCAAATATGATTTGATAAAGTAGCATTACTGATACTAAAATTTCAGGCAACTATTTACCTGACTAGTGTTGTGAAGAATTTGGCTTTCATGCGGGTACAGGTTTTCTGAATCTTGTGGTGAATATAGACGGATATACTTTCTTCCAAATACCTGTATATATTACAATAAATGTTTTACATCTGTCATTAACCTGCACATTACTGAAAACTGTGGGCCGTAGCTGGCATTTAACAGTAAAATATACCTGATTACAAGAAACATCATTATCTTTGTTAGTAAGAAACAGACACTGCTATAATAAAAAGTTAAAACAAATTAGACTATTGGAATTCAAATACCTGTTCACTTAGAGCAGGTAAGAATTACCAGGAAATGCCTTTAACCAAATTACTTTAAATTCAAAGTTTAAGGCACCCAATTTATACATATTATGATGTTATTTGGGCTCTATGTAGCTAGAAAGTAATTAGAAGAACTGAGAATAAGGAGGTGGAGTCTTCAGTGCGGTTCACATCAGCAGGCAGCGGTACCTGCACAGAGTGACTGCTAAGCTTCCATATACTCGTTTAGCTCTTATTTCTGTGTCATCATTAAATCAGTTTTCATTGGTGTGCTCAACTGAAAGCCTAGAATTCATAGGGCAGGTGGACTGACTGACCTGAACACTACACTGAGTTGCAAGTCGATGGTGCCTGGAACGAAGTGGCAGAGTAAACGAGTCAAAGCTGATTCCTGCACTGATACCAGTGGAATGCCCACAGAAGGCACAGGGTGAATATTCACGCTGCTTGTGCCAGGATTCAAGATTTCTTCAAGGGCCAGGCATGATCGTATTTGTTTGGGACCGTCACGTTAAAGGGTAAGTCAGTAAGTACTCTGACTAACCACAGCACCCTGGACTGGCATTATGCTACCACACTATTCTTAACCAAGCTGCTTTTCCTCTCTCTTAACATCCCTTCCCATATAATAGAAGAGGATTTCCTGAAATCTTACCAACGCCCAAGTTGTAATGCTAGATGTTTACAGTGCGTTGCTTCGAGGACAGCACATAAACATATTCTAAAGGCTGGACAAGTATCAGTGTATTCCTGGCCTGTCCTACTCTTCACTATCACTGGTTAAACTACTAGAGCATTGATTGAATAACTATGGCTGTCCCCGTTTCAGATGCCTTCCATACCCCAAAAGGATTGTGGACGTTAATTAGCTCTCTAAAGAACCAAGTGCTAAGTGATATTTTTGGTGATGTATGGAAGTAAAGAAAATGTTGGTTATTGCTCCAACAGCACATTTTCTGAATCGTGGAAATTTTTGGGGGGGTGGGGGGGGCGGGGGGGTGTTACCTGGATTGCCGTGAGCTATTAACGGTTCCTTCCTTCACTTGCCTCACTGGGTTAAGGCCTTGTGTATTGCAAGGTTGAACACACAAGTTAATGAGCCTGCATCTCCAGATACTGGTTTCCTCATTAATGGAAATACTACGATCTCTGCAGCAGCTACCACCCAGCCAGTAGGGATCATTCCACTGTTACTTGTACTTGTGCCTTCCTGTACTCCGCAGCCACAGTTTAAATGGCATCAAGAGGCAGGGCAGTTTTAATTGAAAATCGAAAACTGCCAGATCACCTGCTGTTCAAATTACAAAGACCCGTTTACAGCACTGGCAGATAATCTCCCATTCTTCAGGCAGAAGAATACAAGTTCTGAAGTTTGTAAGGGAAGTATCTTTTCCCAGTCCAACAACTCCTATAATGGACTTCCACCCCCCGAAATTCCTCTCAAGCCTTACATAGTGTGTACAGCAGGCTACTTCGCTTTCAGAATGCAGAGGGGTGGGTGTATGTGTGTGTGTGTGTGTGTGGTGGGTTAGCTGGGGAAGAGAAATACAGTATGTACATCATTGCACAGTGAAAACACAGGTTAGCAAGATGCAGCTGTTTGGGACAGAGCAACTAAGGCCCAACCCATAAATAAGCATAAGTAGAAAGTATTCAATGTCACGATCCTGCTGGAAAATGTTTGAAAGTGTAAGCCATTTTTTTTTTAAAGTGTGTGATGGGATGGAGGAAGACACAACAATCTCCTTCCAGTAAGCGAAAAACCCCTCAGTGTTTGAAGATGTACAGTTGTCAGCTGCTTGGATCAGGAATACATCTTTGGACTTGCACAGTGCTTACCAAAGGGCCCCAGTATTTTACTGTGTTACCCTGCACTAAAAGTCATCGTCAAGAAGCCTACCGACAGTAATTCACTTAGGAACAATGAGACCACAGTGCAAATATTACTTCATCTGACTCTCAATGCATGCACAAATAGGTATTTTACTGGGTAACCTGAAGGGATTAAAGTATGCACCTAAGTCCACCCCAAAATCTTGCTGTTCCAGAAAAGGAAGTTCCTTGGTACACTATCACAGGATCCAGGTTCTTCACAACTCTGTTACAGATTCCTTGTGTGACCTTGGAAAAGCTGCTGCTTGTGATTTCCATTTATCGTCTGTAAAATGAGGGTAAGCAATGGTCTATCTCAATGAGGAGCACTTGTGGCCTACAAGATTACATTTAGTATTAAGCTGCAGTAGTGACAAATGCAATAGAATAGCAAAATAATATCTGCATATTCTCTATTCTTCAATTGTTCATCAAGTTGTCTGCTACCCTTGTCTCTAACACTTACATACCACAAGGATTTTTTTCTATCTATAGCATTAATGGCATGTGTAGAGTAAGTAGAGTACAGACCTGGGCTAAAAAATTTTGCTGGGGATCGTGATGAAGAGGTGAGATCGTGCCTTCTGGACCAAACCAAGCGTTAATGGTGATCTCATCTTCTTCCCCTTCCCCCAGGCAGCAGTAGTCAGGGATACTGATATCCTCTTTCAATTCTGGGATCTACTCCCATAAAGAAATAAACATTAGAAAGGGTATGTGCTGATTTGCCAAAGGTATGTAATTCATAGAACAGGGGAACAAGGCTTGACACAAAAACAAATGACCTGCTTGTCCAGCAAAGGTAGGAGAGAAGTAGCTGAACTGCTAGGAATCTGCAGGAAATGTCCTCACACTTTCTGTATAAGCAAGCAGATTCTGTTGGAAGGAGAGGTGGGAGAAAGAAAGGGGTTTCTCATTGCTCAGAGACCCTTTGCTTCAGCAGAAACCAGAGAAACCCACAAGAATGAGTAGGTTTGCTGTTCATGGAAAAGTAACAGCTGATCTTTTATACACTAAGCTTGCTTCTCCGTGAGATTCCTTTTTACATCTCCCACCAACTTAATCTCTGGTTAACTGGAATGACATTTCAGAATATGGTGAACATACCACCACTGAAGACTGCTTCCTGTCCAAATCTCTTCCCTGATTTACATATTCTTTGGGAAAATGCTGCTTTCCAGATGATACCCCTAAAAGCATGTGTGTGCTACATTGTACCAAAACAGCACAAAGACTGAATGCCTCCACCCCTGAGAGGGGTTTGTTTCCATGCCTTTCGGCCAAATGGAACAGACCCCTCCCTCTGCTACTTCAAATTGTGGGAACAGAAAACTTAAGCAATACTGTGAATTCTCCGTATGCCCTTCCATCTAGTAGAGCTGACATCCTCAGAGATGCCTTGTGCTACAAAGGGAATATTTGACTTCAGAAAGACAAAAACATTTACTCAGTTTTACCTGATCAAAAAGCTGGTGCTGGGCAAGGTATCCTACACTGTTCTGAAATTACAGCAGAAAAAGAAGAAAAAAAAATGCATAGTGACATATAGGGTAAGACTTCTCACTCAGTTAATTTACTTATAGATGAGTAGAATTTACTTATAGGTAACATCAATCTCGAATGTCCTACTTGAGAGTACTAGAATTGTTTCAATAGTTGACTAGTATAAGGGGTCTTCTGAAATAGTAACTTACAGCTACACTGAAATTGTAAGAGCATAGATATATCCCCACAGTCAACACATTATCTAGCTCGAGTTACTGGAAGAAGCCTAGCTATAATCCTACGGAGTCTCGACAGTTCTGTTGTCAATCCTGGGACAACACTGCATCTTTATAGCTAGGCTCTGCAGGGACACAGATGGCTTCACCATCACGCCCTGTAAGTATCTCGATATTCTATTCCAGGCTGCACCACAGACCAGTTTGCAATGGCGCATGGTCCCTCCTGCCAGAAGACAAGGGAACAGAAATGAGGGCTTCAGATCCTCAGCTGTGAAACTAAAAGGACATTCAATTGCTAATCAGCTTCTGGTGGCACGTGTATTTAGATCTCGATCCTAGATCTCACTAAGCAGTTTAATAACCAAGAGGAACAAAACTGCTGGCTGACGATCCCTTATCCTTAGATTCCACCATTCAGGCTTTTGCTGCAGAAGGTATCTATCTATTCATCAAATTCCAGCTGCTGTACACTTGATTATATATAAAAATCAAACCTAGCTATTGTTGCAATAACTATTTGTAGCTTCAGATCTTGAAAATATGTCAAACCTTTTAAATCAGAGTTGTGCTTATAGCATACCCCCTCCCTTGACCTCACCTCTAAGCATGTTTGTTCTAAGCAGAAATTCTGTACCAGTAACAAATGCTGTATTTGGAGATGAAAACAAAATGAGAATAACAGACCTCATTCACAATATACTGGCTGATGAAGTCACTGACAGTCATGAGCTTCTGAGACCATTCCTCATCTGTGTATCGGGTACCCAATTCCACGGGGACTGTGCGGCACCCTGCGACTTGGCAAAAATAGTCCACACTGAAATAAAGAAAGTTCCATTACCCTTCTATGCTGCTCTTCTTACTAATCCTGAATGTAAGGCAATCAATCAAAATAAATCTTTTAGTGTAATAGAACTCTACTACCATGAGTTTCTTCTCTCTAAAACCAACGAAGCAGAGACAAAAGGCAGCAGAAAAGGATGCAAGCAGCAAGGAAACAAGCAGTTGAGTATGTTATGCCACAATGGTCTCTTTTGGTTTAAAACCTCGTTTACCTCAGTTAACTATTGTTTCCTTAGAAGCTAAGGAGATTTAAGCTGATAGTCTCTCTTGACGAGGGACGGCTAATCTTTTTGCTGCCTGCTGCCATGTTTGCTAAATAAAACGTTGTATCTTTTTATCCTTAATGCTAGATCAACTCTCTGTCTACGCCAAATTCTGTATACAGGTGCCATAATACCCATCCTGGCTAGTCAGAGGAATTACTTTGATGGGTGGTATACATCTCTGCATTGACAAGGATATAAACTAAATGGAGAAGTTCATCTTCTCAAGTGTCTGAAGTTAAGCAGTGGAGTACCTTCCCTTAAAAAAAAAAATAAAACCCCTATGAAATAACAAGTGTGTTCAGTTAATGTCAATTTTACCCTTGGCTGTGGAACAAAAGCAATTGCTCAAACTAAGCATGAGTGGTTTTTCCGCTTTTCTAAGGAATCGTGAGCTTTATCTCACAAATATTTGATTCTCAGTATTAGGAACGTTGGCTCCATTGCTTACATGACACAAGCAACACAACGTTATTACTCACTCCTGAACGGCGGTGTCTGAAACTCAAACACGACACTGAATAAGTATCAGCGCTTGTAATTGCAAATGAAAAAACCAATCACGCTTACTCACACTCGTCTGAAATTCACCTTCCATTGCACTAATTATCAACAAGTTCTGAGACTTAAAAATCACCGAGCTGTGTCTGACACAGACCCACTTAAGATGTGAGCAGCTCAGTGGAACAGTCAGCAACGCATGCTCATGGCTGCTTTCCAGCCGAGCAGCGCAGAGCGTCAGCAATTCACCAGAGCACTCCCAGCACAGCCCTGGGAGGCAGGGCTGAGGGCTGCCTTCCAGCCCCTGCCCGCCCAGCACCGGCCTTCCCCGGCGCACCGGAGCGCCTCCCGTGCAACGCCCTGGACGGTCTGCTGCGCTTCCCGCATCCGTGGAGCGACTGCTGCAGAGCAAAGACAACATCGCAGCAGGAAGGTGCTGCCATCAAAAGCCACTCCCGATGGCACCTGTCTTCTGTGAAGGTCCCTACTGCTCTACCGAGCATCAGGAACCCGGCACAGACAGCGATCCTCGGCCCTACTCGGACAGGGAAGAAACTCTTATTTCTCACCTCCACTTCTTCATACATGGCCAGTGGTCAATAATCCCCTCTAAGACCACGGGCTTCTGTGGAATTAGATAGTTGTCTCTGAAATGCTCCAGCGAAGGGCAGCGAAGGTGTG